AGACTACCTGAGCTGGCAAGATGTGATTTTCCAACGGTGCCGCTTGGAACGAAAGAGTAGACGTAATAGCCGGCGCCGCCGTTCCATCCTTCCCATAGATCGAAGGAGCGACCACCAGCTCTGATCACATTCGAACCGGACTGTTTTCCGATCGGCCAGGAGTTGTGATCACCCCAGATCATTACCTCAAGCTGTGGTGTGTCCTTATTCGTGTCCCAGCGGAAGAAGATGTCATAGGCAAAGTCACCGCCCACGTTGTTACCCCAAGCACTGTAGCTGAAGCTCACAGGGATGCTTTTGATTGATTGTACTTGACGCGGGAACAATGTGTCATAAGTGGTTGGGTTCACGTTGTAATGCCATCCACGACAGATCGCTGGATAGCCGTACAGTCCTTTGTCATGGAAGTTGAAGCTCACCGTCATCTCTGGCGAAGATCCCTGCCCGAACTGTACTTTTATGATTTTATTAGGGTCGTTCCAACCATTGTTCCAAGCGTAGTAGTTTCCGTACACTTTATACTGTCCTTCTGGTGGATTATCAGCAGTGGAAATGGCAATCACAACAGCGAAAATGATGAAGAATTTCATTTTCAAGTCTATAGTACTTTTGCCTCTTGCAGACGAAATACGAATGATTTTGCAATGAACTGGACAGCCTTTTATATCAGTTCACAAAAACAAATGCGTAATACGAGTATGAATAGTGACGCACTGCTGCATTTTCGGGTGAGTTGATTTTTGGAATTTTTTTTGGATGAGCTGATTATTCATTAAAATAAATAAAGTGACTCACGTACCGCGCATACCCGCTGCCACCCGATGAATATACATTACATATAATACAAAAGCGAATGATCACCCGGAGGAGAATCTACTGTGTAAACAGAGTACACATATTATGTAGCGCTACGTGTGTATAGTACACAAAGAGCGCGCACACATTTAGAGGCTCTTTATACGCTTAGGCTTGTGTGCGCAAGTTAATTTAAGATGAGTTTTATCCTAATTTATTTGAGACTTTTCTCACTCAGTAGTTAAGGACAGAATATTGTCCTACGGACAATATCGTCCGAAGACCTTTCAGAAGTATTGGTTTGTTTGTTTTTCTTTATTTGTTTAGATAGGATCAAAGAGGGAGACAAGAATGATCTTGCTCATACAGTTTCTTGCTATTTATAGCAATATTTGAATGATTAGTTTTTCAAAGCTACTAATACAATTCATTGATTGATAAAATAATCTAGTTTACTTAGATTTTGATGTGATAAGCATAATCCTATGCTCAGTCGCGCATCGCTAGCTGTTGTTTGTGTGAACGTGAATGCGCGCACACAAGCATAAGCGTATACAGAGCCTCTTCTCCGCTAAATTTGTATTATATGTAATGTATATTCAATGGGTGGCAGCGGGTATGCGCGGTACGTGGGGATTTACTTGCCAATTGAATAATTACAGATGGGCTTGCAATAGACCAAATATATGTTGTTCCGACTTGGGATAGCTCTTAAGACTTTTTTCCGACGACTTTACCTCAATTGATACTTGACCTTAACATTTCCTTGTGTATGACTTTACGAACACTTTTTTATCTGAATAATGTACACGGTACGTTGATTTGCTTTTTTCTTTATTTATTTGCATGCGCTTACTTTGCTACTCGGACGACTTCGGTTGGTTTTGTCCCGTATTCCGCAGTTGTGTAGTACGTTCTCCGGTTCGTGTCTCAGGCTACTTTTGTCCAGTACCGTGCCGAGCCGATGTGAATGCGATGTAAATACGCCGTAGAAAAAAACCACTGGACACGACACACACATTAATTTTATTCATTCGTTGAAGTCTTTGTTAGTGGATAACTTACGCTTTTCCGCTGGTTTTTCTTCTTATCTCCTCTTTTCTTCTAGTCGCTCAATCAATTGGTTTTCGTGACTTTTCTCTTCTTTATCGTTTCGAGGTGACGTCTTGTCCGTTCAGCTGTTCGAGAGAGAAGACCGGTTTTTCGGTTTTTCTCTTGACAGTTTTTGTCGTGTCTCTCTCTTCGTATTTTTTTCATGTGTCATTTTTATTTTGTTCTCTCTCTTGTGTATGTGTCGCCATCTCTGTGTCGCCGAGTAGCTCTAATTCACAGTGTTTCTTACTTCTAATTACAATAAATTTCATTTTTGTTTTGTTTAATTAATTTCTTTTCGTTCTTATTCTAAATTGATTTACTTATCCAAATCAATGTTTTTTTTATTTAATCCATTTAATACATGCATCATAGATTGCTTCACTTCAATCAGCTTCCATACTATCGCTGCATGACCCAGGCAAATTGATTGGATTTGATATTTTGTTTTAAGAGTTAAAAAATACAAAATTCAGAGAACAATTAACAATTCTTGGCTAGAAAACAAAAAAAAAACTTTCTTCTCCTAAAAATTAATTACAAAAATCAAAACAAACTTCATTTCTGGAAACTTTCTCATCAGTACGAAATAGGTCGATTTTTGTTGAAATGATCGAGAATAATTAATCTTATTAACTTGATCCGCCCACCTATACTCCAACATCCTTTGGCATTTATATAATTTTGGCCATGATTGTATGAGTTATAGTACATAATTTCATTGAATAACAGTGAAATTAACTCATTTTGTTGTTCCAAATTGTGGAAAATCCGAAAAATCTGTTCTTTATTTATAGGAAAACCACATGATGCTATTGCCCGAATATTTCTTAAATTTATCATTTTTTTATGAAAAATATAATGCATAATCATGTGAATGACTTGTTTATATACAAGGATGCCTAACCCATTCATTTAAGAAAAATTTACTAGCAACCATATATGAGATCCTGAGAGCAAAAACTCCATCCTGGAAATTAGACATTGTAATTTGGTACAACTCTCATGCACCATAAGCTTCTCTGTGCTAGCATATCAATGCAGTAATAAAAAAAACTGTTTCATGTGTGATTAATCCATATACTAAAGATTACATTGAAATGCTATAAATTAAATTTTGATCATAAAAGTCGGGTTTTTCGTGATTCATCTTAGAGAATCAAAATCGTTTTTTCTTCTGTATTAAACTCAATAGTTTTATATTTATTATGGGCAAAAAATGATCGAAATAATTTAATTAATTTTACTCTTTGAATTCGTCCAGAAGAGTAATTCTTAATCTTTTAATGTGTAAGATAAGAACATTTAAATTCGTTTAGCACAAGAACAAGGAGGTAATTGGATATATCATTGATATATTATATCAATCTTGTTGGTATAAATGAATTAACAAATAACCTCGTGCAGCTTGGCGTCATTTCCTCCACTTCCATATGTTTGCAATGATGTTTGAACTTTGACAAGCAAGCTTCTACAATGGAAATTAAATGCGAGTGGAGACGCCACAAAAATGACTCCAAAATCGTCGATTAATGTTCGAACTACTTTTATGATCTGTAGGCACTTCTTCCGCTCAAATGGTTGGCTTCTGAAATCTATCAAGGATCACGTATTCAGCATTCGCACCGATGTTTGGGCTTTCGGCGTTGTTCTTTGGGTACTGTTTTCGCTTGGTACGACGTCAAATCCTGGTTTGAGTTCAGGCCAAGAGATGTACCAACAATTTTTGGATGGTTACAGAATGGACAAGCCAGACTTCGCCACATAAGATATGTAAGAAGCAACTAGTTTTGCAAATGTTAGCAAGACAGGAAAATGATTGAAACTAATTTCAATTTTTATAGACACGAGATTATGTTATCTTGTTGGCGGGTCAATTCCGAGACGCGTCCATTGTTCGATGAGCTTGAGTAGATTATTTTTGAGCTTCTGGATACCAATGTAGCAGAACATTATATCAGGTTAAACGAACCGTATATGAAGGCAAACGTGGATAAGTACGAATGTGGAAAGACAGATTATATAGCCCTAATGGGAGCACCATCCGTACCAACTCTTGAATGCAATGAATCCGTTACATTAGTTGAAATTCATCAACAGCCAGACAAATCACCAACGGTCCCAATCGATAATTCTCTTGCTTAATATGCTGAACAAATTTTTCATAAAAAATTCCAATTCCTAATGAATTAGTTTCTATGGGTTGGCCAAAGATATCATTAGATATAAAAAAAAATAGTCTCGAAATTGTCTGTACCAACAAACATATGAATCGGTTTACATAAAATCAATCTGATTTTAATGTTTTTTTATCTGTTTTTTATAAATTATTATTTTAAGAAAAGTAAATAATAAAACTTATCGTTAAAGTTCAATAAGATTTGTTAATGAATTCAACCGGTTTTCATAGAAATTTAGAATTTGAAACAAGATAACGAACGATTGATGAAGCTTCGACAAAGCTTCTGCTCTGTTGTCAGCTCGCTCTGTTATCAAAAACTCACACTAGTTTGACTACTGCGATTCAAAGTTCGAAACGGAAAGCAATAACAAGTTTTCTAGGCGACACAAAGATAGCAATTATTTTATATGCTTTTTAAAATTCATGACGTAACAGAAACGGGAAACTGGAAATATGATATGTTGACATGGATTATGTTTCAACTAACCAAAATTACAGAAAAACCTCATATTGCGCGGTTCAGCTCAAAGGCGATACTCACTCTACTCCGGCTGTCCACTTCATCTATGTCAACTTTAGTTTACGCTTGCACGTACTAAAAACATTGCTATGGATTCATTGGAGTTCATCAGCCTTGTTCGCATTCATGTTATGAAGGAATTTCTTATTTTCATGCATATTCATTTCGGAATGTAAATAAAAACACATTTGTGCGTATACGTGAAAGCAGTGAAATTTCGAAAATTCTGAACCTTCTTGTCATACCATGTGTATGACTAAACCACTTTATTTAACTTTATCAGATGCGCAATTGTTCGATATATATATATATATAGTTTGATTTACGGTTGTGCGGTGACAAGTGTTTTTCTTTCGTTGACCGTTGTATCAAAAATAGTTCGCAAGGCGAAAAGCGAGGGTCATAAAGTGATTTCATCATTGCAAGAGTAAATCGATTAGCGTGACCAGTAGTTGATTGGTGAGCTATCGAAATCATCACATGGCTATAAATTTCTTTCTCCTACGGTTAATGTACTTGCGATTTTACGCTGAATTCAAAGTATAACTCATTTGATTAACGATTTGTTTTTCAACGCCGGTCCTATCAAATTCACTGAATCAATCCAGAGCACATTCGAGCGAACAACACGACGTCGTTCGTTTGTGCTTGTTTCTCTTCATTCTCTGTCTGTTCGATCATTCTCTCGTTCCGCTCACAACGACATGGAAACAGCTACGGTGGTGTTTGTGTGTATGAGAGTATCAACGATGCATCCCACGGACAAAACGAAACACGGAGAGACAACAATAGAACAGTAAATACATCGAATCAAATGAGATGGCACACGCGCTTACTCACCAGACAGCTCAAAATTTAGTTTCACGTAAAACCCAATCGACACCGCATCGTTTTGTTATTACAGTTCTCTCGTTGTTTTTTTTTTGTGTGTGTTTTTAGTCCAGAAAAAAAAGAAATAATTAACCAGTGCCACATAAGAACTTTTCTACCACAAGCAGTTGTTTTGTTCATTTCATTGATTGTTTTTTTTTTGGTTCATAGCTGTACTATTCATTCGTTAGTTTTAATTAAACATCAGAAAAAAAATAAATCGAATTCGAGCTACATACGCGGTCTGGCATCGTACAGAATTTCGTGAAGAAAATTGGCACATTTGTTTTAGTAGCTGTAAATAATTTCGATTGTTTAATTCCTTGCTTATTTTTTTTGCATTTATTCCGTTTGAATCGAGATATTCTCGGTGTAATTAATTCTATTGAAACTGCATGATTCTTAAATTTCGACACCGTCCAAAGTCGAATTGTATCAATTTTTTGTATGTTTCACTCATCAACAACAACAACAACAAAAACGAGAAGCCTGTAAATCAACGAAAATTCGGTGTTCACACAATATTTGCTCAAGTAAGTTGGGTGTGTGTTGTGAAAGAAATTCAACACCAATAGTTAATTGAATTGAGAATGCGAAAAGAAGTGATTCGATTTGAACATTTGGTCATTTGGGAAAACAAGGCTACTTTCATAGATATCATTTGATTTAAATTAAATCCGTAGAAATAATCAGACAAGAAAAACTACAGCGAATAGGCGTAATTGTTTTATCCAGTGTACTTGATTCGTATTCAGTCGTGTTTTTGTGTAAACTTACAGTTTTTAGAAAGTTGACAGTGTCGTACGCTTAGCGCTCACACACGTACGCGTGATACAGTGAGAGAGCGAAGTCGTTGTATTGGTTGGGATGTATGTGTTTGTGTCAACTGTTTGTACGAACTGTTTTGTGTGGGATAAAGAGAGCGTATGATAGAGTCGTTGATTCGACTAAGATGCAAAAAAATTAAAAATGTTGCGTTTAACTACGCGAACGGTTCACGTGGCGACTCAATGACTAGGAAATCCTTGCGCTTTAAATGATCGCTCATGTGCATATGATAATTGAAATGTTTATTTTACTTTGTTTAGAGTCCCCGTTATATCGAACACCTTGGCTGTGTTTATCATCGTCAACTGGAGCGTAGCTAATAGTTCCGAGTGAATCACGATAAATATGTCTCAAGACGAATCAACACCCATAGTACAAGATAACCAGAATCTGCCGAATCCGAGTTACGGTGCGATCCGAAGAAGTTCAACACACATTTTTGATAATAATATAAGGCCGAGTACGCCGCCATTGCATCGGATTGAAACGGCCCCGTTTTTATCGCAGTCGATTCTATCCACGTCTACTATTCAATCGAGCTCCGATCAAATGGTTTCCACGATTTCAACTTGGCTCAAACTTGGATATGGTCTAGGTCATATTTATAATGATCTCTGCGCTGGCGTTTGGTTTAGCTACTTATTGTTATTCATGAAGGGTGCTCTGAAAATGCGCGGAACAGAAGCCGGTGCCATGATGATGCTGGGACAGATCGGTGATGCTCTAGCCACTCCAGTTGTTGGTTACTTGGTCGATAAATTCGGAACCAAACAAACGTGGCATATTTTTGGTAAGATTCAATTTTGTATTGTTTGGATGGATCGTTGATATGAAAACACATTTTTTGAACCGAAATTGACACTTTTCTCGTGCATTTCTCAAAATTATCCATAGTACAGTTTCAGTTTTTCTTATCACTGAACATTTTCCTTTTGAAAAGATAAATAAATTTTTTTCTTCTTTTCACAGGAACATTTCTCGTCTTCCTCACATTTCCGATGCTTTTTTCCATATGCCCTATGTGCGATATATGGCCTACCTGGTGGCACATCATCTACTTTTCGATTGTAATTTTTTTCTTTCAATGCGGCTGGCCAATAGTACAAGTGTCACATTTGGCAATCATTCCGGAACTGGCACGTACGCAAAAAGATCGAACGCAATTGACGTCAGTGCGTTATTCTGCGTCAGTTATATCCAATGTTATAGTTTTTGTTGTAACATGGCTGGTGCTACGATCAAACCGAACATCGGCTGAAGAGAAAATCAGCCCAAAAGATGCTTATCGTTTTCGTGTATGTAACAAAAAATTCCATTTGTAAAACATCAAAAAAGTCTTCCATAAAATTGAATCAACTGTTCGGCTCTTTTTCCATTTTCATAGGACATCTCACTGATTCTGACATTGATTGGATTGTGTACGACGGCAATTTTCCAATTTGGATTATCATTCAGCGGCTACGGTCTTCGCCGGATGCAGGCATTGAACAATCGCCGAGCGTCACTTGAATCGCGCTCTTCATATCGGCGATTAAGCGAGTCAACTGATATCGAGAGACATCCGCCAATCACAATGCGTCCACCACAGCAACCCGAACGACGCCGCAAGAACTTTTTGAAATCACCGAAAATCTACCAAAATTCACTACGTAAGTAAATAGTATCCAAATTTATTATTGCTTTGTAATCTAAACACATTTAACTAACACAGTGCTATCCAAACTATTTTTCAGTATATGTTTTCTCGCGAATCTTCACGACAACATCATTGGTCTATATTCCATTGTGGTTAAACGATCGATTATTCCAAATATCACAAGTTCCAAGCCTTGCCGAAAGCAGCGACACAAGTGTAGAACACATTGCCACCGTGCCAATGGTTTCATTTTTGGCATCATTCGTATCGTCTCTGTTCATTGACAAATCACACGGGATACTAGGCCATAAGTCATTGTATTTGCTGGGTTCATTGACCTGCATTTTTGGCTGTCTCCTCGTTGAAACCAGCATTTCAACGCAACTGTCCAACGTTCGACTGTACAGCATCGCCACATTATTCGGAGCGGGCAGTTCAATTACCATGATCAGCAGCTTGTGTCTGATCGCAAACATGATTGGAAAGCACGCAGATCAAAGTGGTTTCGTCTATTCGGCCGTCACATTCGCCGATAAATTGATTACAGGCGTCGCCGTTATGGCCATTGAATCATTGTGAGTGGGATTTTTTTTTATTCGTATTTGAATGAACCGAATTTGTTTGGTTATTTGGACAATTTATTTTTTAAAAAATCTGAATTTTTTGATCATGTTTCGGAATCTGAATTTTAAACACTTGAACGTCTGTTTTCTATTTTTAGTTTTTTTCTTCCTTCTTCAAACTGTTTTTGTTTTGGTTTTTGTCCGGCTTTGTTTGTTTTTGACCAAATTCCAAACAAAAATGTGTTTTTCTTTTCAATTCCAACCAATAACAGCTTCAACTAATCTAAAAATTGAAATCAAACTAATGCTATTGTTGTATATTCATTCGTTTATTTCCAGAAAATGCCAAAACAGAGCTGATTGTCCAGACTACTACAAAAATGTGTTGGCTCGTGCTTGCGGCGGTGCAGCAGTTCTGGGTGTACTTACTCTGACCACACTGTTATTTAATCGTCGACGCCATGCCGTCCGTTCAATTTAATATATTGGCTAATAATTGTAAAAATTGTTTAGTAGTTAGAATGCTACGATGCCAAAAAATGTATTAATTAATTTAATTCCTTCAATGATATTTCTATCGACTTTAGATTTGAATTTTTAGTTAATTTTGTGATTGTAATATAGGTGAATGTTTATGTACAAATCCAAAGCCAGCCTTTCTGATCATGAAAATAGTAAACAATACAGCGGCACCTGGGGACTAAGTGCAACGTGTCATACTTTCAACGTTTGAATTACACAGACGCACTTACACAGACGCATACTTGTTACAGCAAACTATGTGCATGATTCTTCATTTCTCCAACCAGTCGCCAGGTGCCGCTTTATTGTTCTTGTTTGACGTTTCCTATCTATTTGTACAGACGATCAGAGAGGCTGTCCAAAGCAAAGGCAAAAAGAAGAAAACGTTATCATTCCAATTAGCAAAAAAAAAAACAAATCATCCTACCTTCCCGTGGAATCAAAACCTGTGTGTTTTATATTTAAAAATTAAATATAGTAGTCTAATCAACAAATTATAAGGAAACAAATTGCATTTATAAGAAGAAAATAATCATGTGTTTCTTTTTTTTTATTATCAAGTGTAAATTTGGCTGAGTTGATATGATTTCTTTGATGATAAAATGTGTTACAATGTGTCAAATTGGTAAGAAGTGAAAAAAAAGTAAGTAACAGTTATATTTGGTCCGTTCATAGATTATCTATATCTTAATCTAAGCTCTAAACATGTTGCCTAAGATTATCGATGTTTATTTACATTTCTAATGCTAAAGAAAAGCGGTCGAACTATATATGCTAGAGTCTTGAATCGAAATTATCGTAGCTGTAAAAATTGACGGGTCGCGATAGAAGTTTAGTTGGAATCGATTTCTTCACGCGACTTTCAGCCTCAAAATTCAATATCATTTTGCTGACGTTGCTGGTGCGTTTCTGTGACAAATCCACATTTTCATCGGCTGCATGCTGCAAAAATTCAAACACATCGTCAATGATCTGTGTGGCTTCGATGTCGTATTCATTTTTCAATCGCTCCTCAACTCGAACTGGCAGCTCATTCTTTTTGTTATTGATTTCTACGCAGGACGGTGGTCGCGGTGCCGACCTCTTAACTGCTTTCATAGCTTCCATTTGACGGCGACGGATTTCTTCTTCGTATTTCTGTTTTTGGATTTGTACTTTACGAATGGTATATGCTTTGCGCGCCAGGAAACCGCGACACAAAGACTGAATGCGGATGATATTTTTGTTATATTTTTCATAAGCGTAAGCCTGTCGACGTGATCGAATTCGCGCTTGTAATCGCTCAATTGCATCGCGTAAACGAAGGAATTTCTGACGAGCACGGTATCGACGCCAATTACTCTGAATCACAATTGCTGCCCGTTTCCGTCGATTTAACCATATTTTCAGCAGAACACGACGCGTAAATCGCTGTAAAATCATCACATATTTTAGGTACGCCTTTTCTCGCTCAGCCTCAAGAAAACCGTCTTGGTCATACTTTAAGAAGACTTTCGTTTGGCCCAGTTGATAGTGTGGATTAAATTTCAACAAATTGGCACACATTCGCTTACACAAATCCCGATAATAGACATTTGTTTCGGGTGACTGAGCAATTGAAGGCATTAGCAAACGATAGCGTTGGACAAATTCTTTGAATGTGTGCCGAATAGGATAGCCCAAGGCGCGTATGCGTGCCGTTTCAAGCATTCCAGTGTATCGCAGCTGACGAACACACAGCTCATTATCAAACATATTCGACTTTTTGGAGTCGTTTGGCTTAATACATCGCACAAAGTATGGATTGCAAGCGGTCAGCGTCTTCATTAGCTCATCCAACGAATTTTTGAACTGCAGTGATAATGTCATCGTCTTTTTGCCCGAATCCAATGCACTATTCTTCTCGAATAAGCTCAACAAGAATGCATTATTCGATTGGGCAACCAATTCCTTGAGATCAGCACCAAATGTATCACGGTTTTTCTCCAAAAATCCTATTCGAGTAGAGAGAAGAGTGTTTTTTTCAAAAATTTGTTCAAATTGGAGTCAGTTATCAATATTCAATTCAGTTTTTAGCTAAAGATTCCGGTTGGGAGTTCTTTCGATTAAAACTCAATTTCAACAGAACTTCGGTTGTATCTCACCTTTGGAGTAGTACATCACAACGCCGGCAAAGTGTCGAATACCAAACGATACGGCATGATCACTGAATGGCCTTACAAAAATTGACTTTGAACCGTGGTTCGCATTGAGCTTCATCAAAAGCGTGGCATCAGTGCCTGAATGAATGAACGAAAAACGAGTTTTAGTCATAAAAAGAGAAATTCAAAGAAATGGAGCAACAACCGAATGAAAAAAATTAATCGAAAAGAATGACAAATATCGATCGAATGTGGTCGTTACCCTTTGGAAATTTGGATTCTTCATCAATTAGCGACATGATATTGCATGGCTTTAAGCCGATCATATCCAAAACACTTTGGTTATCAACGAATGTGATATTCTTCCAAATTATCTTCTCCTTGTTATACTCATTCTGCTCCATCTGTAACAAAAGCCATTTTTGGTTATTTCCATGATAAATGAATAAATTACCACACACAACTTCGTTATTCATCGCACGTGTTAGGGATTACCTTGAAAATTTGTTGTACGAAAAATTGCTGAAGTGATTCGTTGGCGTAATTAATGCATAGCTGCTCGAAGCTATTGCACGAAAAATTCTCAAAACCAAAAATATCCAGTACGCCCAATGAAACGTTGTTCGAAACATTCGAAGCGGATCGTGAGATGGTGCTGTTGATACGAAGAACGATCCAGTTGAAAATGCGGCCGTAAATCGTTTTGGCAAAAGAATCTCGTATTTCCATGGCATACTCCTTCGAAATGTTCGACACGACTCGTTCATCGTGAACATAGAGTGTTCGTCGGGTCAAGCATTCGCACAACACACTTCTCGGAATGCCCAAAAAATGGGCAACTCTAGACGAATTTAAATTGTCGTGGATCTCGGTGGCGTCGATGTTTTCGATGATTTTTCGTTTGTACTGTAAATTGCCCAAATGCAAAAGTGCAGCTAAGAGTTGGAAAATTTGCCACATTTCCCATTCGCTGATCGACAACACTTTCATGGCATTTTTAAGACGCTCCAAATCGATTAACGTGTCATTGATACCAACGGGTGTGTCATCGGTAGCACTTAGATAATTGTACGCATTGTTTGGGTTGAGTTCAAGCGTGTCTCGTTCCTCATCGGTTAGCCCATTCAAAAGCATATAGAAAATGTGATAGTTTCGTTCGCTTCGATTCACCGACACAATGCGCGACTTTTCCAATAGATAATGATTGAATTTAGCACCTCTCATTGCACCCGCTGTATCGAAATGTATGTCAATATACTTTCCGAATCGTGAGCTATTGTCATTGCGCACCGTTTTTGCATTGCCAAACGCTTCAAGTATGGGATTTGCCTCCAAAATTTGCTCTTGAATCGGTGACGGTCGTTTGCTGATCGCCGCCAAATACTGCAGTATAAATTTCATACTCTCCGTTTTGCCAGCACCCGATTCGCCCGACACCAAAACACATTGATTCCGATTTTCCTCAATGACTTTGCTGTACGCAAGATTTGCTATGGCATATATATGCGGCGGTAACTCGGTCATTTTCTTTTGTTTGTACGCATTGATTAGGTTCCTGGAGTAAATGTACAAGTTTTCATACGGATTCACTGCAACAAGCACAGTGCCCGTGTATGTCTGTGAGAAAGAGAAGAAAAAAACAATGAAAATTTAAGCGTCTTTACGCATTTTGAATGGAAAACAATGTATTTTCCATTATGGTTTTTCGCTGCAGATAACAATTTACGCACATAAATTTGTTTGTCCTTGTATCGAATACGCAGGTTTCGTAAAATGGCACACTCGTTTATATCACCCAACGATATCATATCTTCGACTCCATACACAGATGAAATTTGCATCGATTTGATGATCTGAAATTAAAAACGCATTGAACTAGTTTCTATTTGGTTTCAGAAGAAGAAGAAAGAAAGAAAGTCTTTTTCAAAGACTAAATCTTCATCGTTCTTCAAACGTTGGCTGACAAAATGTTGCATTCCAAACATGCGAGAATTTATAAACAGAAATTTATTGAAAAGAATTAACTACAAACTAAAATGACGAAAAAAACAAACAAAATAGAGAACAAAAAGTAAAAAGAAAGACTGAAAAAAAAACAAAAAAAAAATAAGTAAAACTATCACACACCTGATCGGGTTTGATCCAGCTCTCTTCGCCTTCATCATTGCGAATCAATGCTTTGCCTCGATCGAATCGCACGATTTGACAGCCGATTGGTGTTGTAAATTCCGTGTTTTTCTGTGGCTTTATCCAAACCCATTGACCCTTTATCGTCCCAGTGGAAAGAAAAAAAACAAACAAAACAGGAAAACGTGATTAGTTGCATAACGGCTACAAAAAAAGATAGAGTCCGATTTCAAGTTGAATGCGATTATATCAGTAGCGCATTGTGCTTAATTCCCTGAGTGTAAAATTACACGGAAAACCGATATATGACGAAATGCTATCATAAGAAATCCCATAAGTGGAAATGTGCGCCCATTTCGTGCATAGCGTTTTAATTAATCATCGCGTACTTGAAATGAGCCAAAAATTGCGGAATTTTATCTGTTATCAATGAAACCAGACGAGAGATAAGACGATCGAAACAGTGCGACAAATTTTTGTCGAGTGTAAAATGGGCGCGCAGCTCTGCGAATTTGTTTGAAAAATGTGAAAAAAAACAACAACAACAGCTACAGCAACAATAAAACGAAGAATAAAATTTGTAATGAAGCAAATTCCAAGGCTTTCCTCGCATTTACTCTATCGCCAAAGCTGGAGAGAAGAAATAAAAACACTAACAAACGAGAGATTTGTGTGACTCCAAACACAAATTGTACACTTTGTATTTTTATTTTTAGTGTACCATACGGTACGGCTTTTTTTTTCAATGAAGAAAATAACAGAATTTCTGCTCATATTATTATCTCCCATATTTTGTTTCTTCTTCTCTCTGTATTTTTCGTTAGTGTTTGTTTGTGAGCGAAATCGTAAGTTATGAGTCGTAACCACAATTTATCCGATTGTTGTTTACGTAAATTAATTGTTTATTTGTTTCTCATCCCGTATTTTTTTCCAACTTACGTCTGTTTAGTCAGAGATGAAGGTGAGTAAAAATGAGTAGAATCAAACAACAACAGTAGCAGCAGCAACAACAAATGCAAACATCCATCCCATTTGGGCATTGATGTTTGTGATGAGTGCGCGCGCGTTCGCGCACTCAAGAGACCCGTTATTTCTGTATAAATTAATATCAAATCTACATTTCCATTGTTTCATTTTTATGATGTAGTACCATCATTTGCCGACTAATGTTCATTTAATTCATCTTTTACGCACTTCAGCAGCCGCGCAATTCCGTGCGTTGCAATTTTTTATGCGAGTGCAATATAAAAACAACGCCGCAAAATGCCAAATATGCATTCCGACCACAGATTCCTCGCGCGTTTGTTGGAAAATCATCTTGATTTAATTTCGTCTTCTTTCATCTTCTCTCTGCTTGTTTTATTGCACCATTATTTCACCATTTATCATTTAACCGAAAAGCGATTTGCATTTTTCGGTTGTTCGTTTGTTCGTTTGGTCGTTTGTGTAACAATGTTTAATGAAATACGAGAATGGCATGATAATAGACGATATTGGTTTGGAAAAACACAAACGTTCGCAACTATAAACAATAGAATCAGGAAAAACATGCAAACTGTGAAATAACACCACAATCACCGGCTGACGTTTGTTTTATGCTGATTTTTTTTTTCTTTTCTGCCATGATTTCCACGCGTTCAGGGTGATTTACTTTGGGTGAACTCTGTGTCTTTTTTTCTTCTTCTTCTGTCGATCATTGTTTCGTCTTCCAAATGGATCGTCGGTAAAGATTGCATTATACACACTCACACACACACACACACCTCGTTCGCTACTGTCATCTTCGTCATAATCCAGTGCTTGTGAATTTTCAGGCTAACATTGGTTGCGCCCGATTTTCTTTCAATGCATTCAGTTTCTTCCCATATGATATAATGTGCTAACGATCCAATTTTGTGCCGAGAGAGTCTCTCGTTTCTGTGTTGAGCCGAGAATTACTCAACATTTCGACAAATTAGAAACACATCGCTGAATAGAATTCATTAAATGTATCAAGATGCCAATGTGTTACAAAACACGCGATGAATTTCTCAGTTTGCATTTATTTTTTCCTCGTTTGTTTGATTCTGTTTGAACGTCAACGTGACGACAATTAGACATGCGAAGTGCATCGAAACACCTCGAAACGAAACAACTATGATGAGATAGTGTTAAGTGCATTGCACACTCCGATCGATTGTTTATCATGAAAATGATGATCGAATAATGATTTAGGGAAATGATTTTGCACAACTTTGTGCTTCTGTTTTCGAGATTGGCTAATTGAAATTCTCTGCGAATGATTGGCCGTCGTTACCCTGGCATTATCTTTTTTTTTATATTCTCGCACACTTCGATTTGATACGTTGTGCCGCCAAACAATGTCGGCAATTTGCGTCGAGGCAATTCAATCGTGATTGAATGTTTGCATTTCCAATTGAAAATACAATTATTTGATTGTTCGTTCGATAAATTACATCTTCCTCATTTTGATTTATTCTTTTCACTTGATTTTCTAATTCAATGTGTGTATGTGTTTTTTTTTGCTGCTTCTGCTGCTGTTCATTTTCTCTCAAGTTTTTTTTTTTTCAACAAAAAGTTCTCTTTTTTTCCCCGAAGCAACCATTTTCAATTTTTATCTACATGACTGCGATAGTATAAAAAAAACACTTGAGCTTTTCCATTAAATTCATTACATCGAGTGGCTGGCAGTATAATTTTAATCAATATTTGTCCATGAGTCACACAATGGAGCGATAAAGTTAACAGCAACATGCGGAGGTCTGGCATAGTATTGAAGTGACAAAATCGAGATAGAGAGAGAAAACAGCTGTAAAGTAATTTTGTTCGCACGAGCCACTACTGAATTTCACTCAACGCCGTGCAATTAATTGCATTTCTAACCAGTTGCTATTGTTTACTTCAATCGTTTGAAAATACAACAAAAGTGATTAATTTGACATCTCTCGTGGAGCATGTGTTAACAGGATTAACATTGATCGACACGTTTTTATTTTGTTTGACGGTAATTACGCAATTTTCCTTCACTACTGGACGGTGGTTCTAAACGCAAGGTCAGCACATGATCGGGATTGGTATCACAGTGAATTATGGCACTTTTTTCGCACCGTCTCTCGCACAAAGAGCCCCCGAATCATTTGTCATATGACTTGGACACACATATTTCATGCATTTCAACATGTAGAGAAACTCAATTCTCATTTGTTCGCTCGTTCTCTCACAGCATCAAGCAGCATCTAATTGTGTGACACAATGTCAACGAATTAACATATTACTACGTTTGTATGCGACAATGCTAACACAGTTTTGCTTTCATTTTTTGTTGTTTCATTTTGGCTTTGGTCACGTATTTGAAATGATCCGTCCCATATACACCACGGCAGAGATCGACAAAAATACAATAGCCAGATCAGTTAGGTTGAAAAGAGAAGAGCAAAAATATTGTGCCCAAATCAAATTGTGAATCAAATGGTTTTTTATGTGTTTTTTTTGTATTATTTTTTTTGTGTGTTATTTTCATTCCAATTCATTGGTGTGATTTTCCATACTATGAATTAACGATTTGATTTCGTCTACAAACAAGAAAAAAAATTTATATTTTTCTGCTATACGCATCACTTCCATCGCACAAAAGGGGCTGAATACGCCAACTTCATCAGGCACAACACACAGAGACAACACACGAAGAGAGAGAGAGAGAGAGAGAGAGAGAGAGAGAGAGAGAGAGAGAGAGAGAGAGAGAGA